TTTGGCTTGTGCAATGCTCTAGGAACATTTCAAAGATGTATGTTAAGCATTTTTTTTACTTAGTGGAGCATTGTATAGAAGTCTTTATGGATGATTTCATTACGTATGACCTATCTTTTTCTGCATGCTTAGTTAATTTAGAGAAAGTTTTGAAAAGATGCATTGACACTAACCTTGTGCTAAATTTTGAGAAATGTCACTTCATGGTAGAGCAAGGTGTAGTGTTAGGTCATATCATATCTGAAAAAGGCATTGAGATAGATCCTGTAAAATTAGATTTTATTGCACAATTGCCTTACCCCTCTTGTGTTCGAGAGGTTCGTGCTTTCCTTGGCCATGCAGGGTTCTACAGGAGATTCATCAAGACCTTCTCCAAAGTTGTCATTCCCCTGTCCGAGCTTTTACAAAAGGAGGTTGAGTTCAATTTTGATGAAAAGTGCAAAGAAGCATTTAATATGCTTAAAGAAGCCCTGACTACCACACCCATTATCCAACCCCCAGATTGGACCAAGCCATTTGAATTGATGTGTGATGCATCTAATTTTGCAGTAGGAATTGCCCTAACACAACGGGTTGGTAAATTTCCTCACATAATTTATTATGCTTCTAGAATCTTGGATCCAGCACAATGTAATTATACCACAACTGAAAAAAAATTGTTGGCCATAGTCTTTGCATTGGACAAATTTAGGTCATATCTTTTAGGGTCAAAAGCTGTGGTTTTTACTGATCATTCTGCCTTGAAGTATTTACTGAAAAAGACATATTCTAAGCCTAGGCTGATAAGATGGATGCTTTTACTTCAAGAGTTTGATTTGGAGATCAAGGACAGAAGTGGAACTCAAAATCTGGTAGCGGAGCACCTGAGCAAAATAGAGGGAGTTCTTGACCCTATTCCTCTTTTAGATAATTTTCTTGATGAACAACTCTTAGAGTTGTATGCTTCACGGGCACCTTGCTATGTTGACATTGTTAACTTTCTTGTTGCAGGGGCCTTTCCAGCAGATGCACCCAGAGCTAAAAAGAAAAGATAAGGAGTGATGCCAAACATTACGTTTAGTATGACTAATCAATTAGAATTTTTACAATCTTATTTCATCTCGTTCCTAGCTCATTAATCATCTTTTGTGCCTAATTGGTTTGAATTGGATCATTTTATGATGTTTGAATTTTATTTGGGCTTTATTTAATTTTTCTAGTATTAGGCAAATTCTGATACTGTTTTGGTTTCTGGGCCATATCTTGAGTTGTAGAGCTCATTTCGTTATGATTCTTGATTTGTAGGAAAGTTGAGAGAAAGGCGCACAATTCCTATAAGAGGTAAGAAACCAATTTTGACGATAAGATGCTGAAACTGGGCCTGGAAAAAGTCAAAAATATGCACTCGCAGTTTCTGACCTTAGTACAGTATTTGAGCCATATCTCAGTCCACAGATCTCCGTTTAAGCCCATTCTAGTTGCGTTTTGAAGCTAACATCTAGGACTACAATTTCTCTTCATATCAAAAATTGAAATGGACAGATATTCATAGTAAAAAATACCACACAATATCTTCTCGGATTTAGCATGGATACTGGGCAGCAATTACAAGCATAAATTTCCCTCCAAAATTCAAACTTGAACAAATAAGGATTTCAGAGACAGCTATTGAGTAGAGGATTAATGTAATTGAATAATTATTAATTAGTTTTTATGTTTTGACCTTTAAAAGGCCTGTATTTAAATTAGGGTAGTGATGAATCCACACTTTATAGATATTTTATTTGATTTTTATAAAGTTTTAATAGAAAAAAATAGATTTAGAGGCTGTAAATAACATTAAAATCTTATTTAGGTAGAAAACAATAGCTTTCTTAATTTTTGTCTTATTTCCATTAATTTTTGTGAATATATTTTACAATTTTGATCATTTGAATAATTGTGCAGGGAATTCTAGACAAATTTCATGAATTTTTGGCTCTTTGAAAAAAATATGAACTGAGAGTAACTACTATCAGATACCAGAGTAATCACTCCAGGGAGCTGGTTTCAAGGGATAGGCCAGAGTAACCACTTTCAGATATCAGAGTGACCACTCCAGAAGCCCCAGACCCCAAGTGTCCTGCGCGTAAACACTCTCAGAAATGGGAGTAATCACTCCAGAGACGCCCAGAAGAAAGTGTCATGCGCGTGTTTACTCTCAGAAATGAGAGTAATCACTCCAGAAAGGGAAAAAGCTAAAGTTGCTGCGCGTGTTTACTCTCTTGTTTTACAGAGTGATCACTATGGGGCCATGTCAGACTTAGTATATATAGACTTTTAGAAATTAGGGTACGTGAGGCAATTTTCCTTAGATTCTTTTACCACTTTTGGAGCATTTTGCAGAGCTTAGGATTCTTGGGTGACAGCCAGGGATCCATTATAGGTTTTAATTTCCAATTTCCCTTGGATTCTCCTTGATTTTACATTAATGTTGCTTATGTTTCTACATTCTCTTCTTTCATTTGTGAAGCCCATCCATATGGAGGGCTAAATTCTCTTGTAATTCCTAGTCAACTCATATGGTTCTTGAATTCTTGAGTTTAATGGCAATATCACTCTTTCTTTCCTTGGATTTATTAACCCCAATCTCTGAATGAAATGAAATTTGCATGAGGGGAACATTGCTTAATGAACCCTAAATTACCCAACGAAATTCTAATCTAAAATTGCTTAATTTTGATTAATCTTTGAGATTGCTTAATCTTAGGGATAGAGAATTGGAGCCCATTAAGATGCTTAATTTTAATTGGGATACTAAAGTTAATTTTCGCTTGTTAAATTAACTTAATTCAAGGGAAAAATAGAGGATTATTGAATCATTTGAAAGAATAGGGATAGAACACATTGATTGACTAGGGATTACTCTTTTTAATTGATTGAATTTCATTAGTTTACATTCTGTTCTTGATTAAAATCTAGAAATTGACAAACCTCCCCCCAATTTACTTGCTTTAAAATATATGTTTACACTTGTTCGATGTATGTTCCCAACCAAAAGTTCCTTGGAGATAACCTAGGACAACACCCTAGTATTGCATTTATATCTTGCATATTTGATGAGGATTAACGACAATCTTTGTGCATAACGAGTAGTGAAAAATCGTTCCATCAAATTGGCGCCGTTGCCGGGGAACTTTGGTGTTAATTTTGCATTGAACTTGTTAGTTGCTCTGTTTTAGTGTTCTGTTTCCTATTTTTCTGCATTATTACTCTGTTTTTGCTGCATAATTCTGCAGCATTTGCTAGCTTGTGTTGTGTTTTCTTGCAATTAATTGCAATTCCTTTTCTGTTTTTGTTGCTTAACCTCTTTGCTTCATTTTATGCACATAGACATTAGTTTTCTGCATAATTATCATCTGATTTTTTCTGCATTTTTTGCTGTTTCATCTAGCTTACTTCTTTTCATTCCTTATAATTAGATTCTAGTGCATGACCAGATCGAATCCTGGGGACTTGTATCCACTTGACCCAGAGATTGATAGGACATTTCATAGTAGCATTAGAACACATAGGAATAGTTCTGAACATTTTGAAGAGTTTTCATCTCCTTCATCTATCTATTCATCACCCCATTCATTAGAATTTAGAATTGAAAACATGGCTGACAATGAAAGAACATTAAAGGAACTAGCTGCACCGGATGTAACATATCAAACCTTATGCATACAGTATCCTGATATTGATGCTCCTTTTGTTCTAAAGACTGGACTAATACACTTGTTGCCAAGATTTCATGGCCTTGCAGGTGAAGATCCGCACAAGCACCTCAAGGAGTTCCATATTGTTTGTTCAACTATGAGGCCACAAGGTGTGCCTGAGAAGCATGTCAAGTTAAAGGCTTTTCCGTTCTCTCTGATGGATGCAGCTAAGGATTGGCTCTACTATCTCCCTCCAGGATCTATTGCTAGTTGGGACAACTTGAAGAGACTTTTCTGGAGAAATTTTTTCCAGCATCAAGAGTTGCGTCCATAAGAAAGGAAATATGTGGGATAAGGCAACTTGAAAGAGAGACCCTCTATGAATATTGGAAAAGATTCAAGAGGTTGTGTGCTAGCTGCCCTCATCACCAAATTAGTGATCAATTGCTCATACAGTACTTCTATGAAGGACTGCACCCTATGGACTGAAGCATGATAGATGCCGCAAGTGGAGGGGCGTTGGTTGACAAAACTCCAATTGCAGCCCGGAATTTGATAGAGAATATGGCTACCAACTCACAACAATTTGCAACAAGGCAAAATTCTTGTGTTACCAGAAATGTGAGTGAAGTTCAAGTTGCTGAGTCTAGTAAAACAGAACACAAGCTTGATGAATTGGCATCCATGGTGAAGCAATTGGCTTCTATGCAAAAGAGTGCTGCTGCATCCTCATCTGCTCCACCACCTATTCCAGCCATGTTGTGTGGTATTTGCTCAGCTACAGACCATTACACTGATAGCTGTCCTACACTACAAAAGTCTGATACTTTAGAAGTGAATCCTCAGGGCTATGCTGCAAATATTTACACTAATAAATTTCCTTTTCCAAATTCGCAGAAGCAGCCCAATTGGGATCTATCTTCCAATAGATATAACCCAGGCTGGAGGAACCATCCAAATTTGAGATGGGGGAACAATTCTCAACAACAAAACCAGCAGCACGGCACTCAATATCAAGCACATCATGCTGGCCCAAATAGATTCCATCCATCTCAACATCAACCACAGCAAGCCCAACAACATCACCAACCATCTTCCTCACAACCAAATGCACCCCAGAAAAATGAACCATCACTGGAGGAGCTCATGAAGCAATTGACCATGAACAACATCACTTTCCAGCAAAGAACCGAGGCTAGTATTAAGACTTTGGAGAACCAAATGGGACAACTAGCCTCATCTCTGAACCAGATGCAATCTCAAGGTTCAGGAAACCTCCCTGCACAAACTGTAGCAAATCCTAAAAATGTGAGTGCAATCACTCTGAGGTCTGGAAAAGTGATGCAAGAGCCCACAGTGTCCAAAGAGAAAGAAGACCCAAAATGTGCTCCATCTAGAGTTGATCTAAATGGAGAGGAAAAGGTTCAAGAACAACCAGAACCTACATCTGCCCAACCAAAGGTGGCAGAAAATGTTGATAGGCCAATTCCTCTACCATTTCCTCAGAGAGTTATCCAGCCAAGCAAGAAGATTGAAGAGGCTGAGAAAGAGATCCTTGAGACCTTCCGAAAGGTAGAGGTGAACATACCTCTACTAGATGCAATCAAGCAAATACCCAAGTACGCCAAGTTCTTGAAAGACTTATGCACCCATAGGAGGCGTCTTAAGAGTAATGAGAAGGTAAATATGGGTAGGAATGTTTCTACACTCTTTGAAAAACAAAGGTCCACAATGCCTGAGAAATGTAAGGACCCAGGAACATTCACTATCCCATGCATTATTGGTAATAATATGATTGAGAATGCCATGCTAGATTTAGGAGCATCTATAAATGTCATGCCATTGTCCATTTTTACTTTACTGTCTCTTGGCCCTCTGCAGCCTACAGGTGTGGTTATTCAGTTAGCCAACAGAAGCATAACAAACCCAGCTGGGATTGTTGAAGATGTATTAGTCAGAGTGAATGATCTCATCTTCCCAGCTGACTTTTACATTTTGGACATGCAAGAGGGAGAATTAGTGAAAGGTGCTGCACCAATCATTTTGGGAAGACCGTTCTTGAAGACTGCAAGAACGAAAATTGATGTGCACGCTGGGACGCTCACTATGGAGTTTGGAGACAGCATTGTGCGCTTCAACATTTTGGACGCCATGAAGCATCCATTGGAAGAACACTCTATTTTCCAAATTGATTTGCTGGATGATTTGATAGATGATCAATGTTCTGAATTTTTAGAAGAAGATTTTGCTCTTAATTTTTCTGAATTTATAGACAATTCCATTTGTGAATATTGTAATAATTCTTCTGTATGTGACAATTGTATTTCTAACTTTTTGAATGTGAATTCTGCAACCTCTGTTATTGAGGAAATTGAAAAATCAATAGGGGAAGAATGTGATATTTTGAGTTCAGCAAGTATAATTGAATCTAACCCCTTTGACTTGAATGTTGCAGAAATTTCTTCTACTGAAAGTGCCAAGTCACTTCCCTCTGTGGAGCAATCTCCTACACTAGAGCTTAAACCATTGCCAGAGCATTTGAAATATGCCTATTTAGAGGAAAATGAGAAGCTCCCAGTGATAATCTCCACTAAGCTGAATATCAATCAAGAGAAGGAGCTCCTAGAAGTGATAAGGAGGCACAAGAAGGCTATAGGCTGGACGCTTGCTGATATTCCTGGAATTAGCCCCTCTCTTTGTATGCACAGAATATTATTGGAGGAGGGTGCTAAACCAGTGAGACAGCCTTAAAGGAGGGTAAATCCCATCATTTTAGACGTGGTGAAGAAAGAAGTCACCAAGTTGCTGCAAGCTGGGATTATCTACCCTATATCTGATAGCACTTGGGTCAGCCCGGTCCAAGTAGTTCCCAAGAAATCTGGACTCACTGTGGTGAAGAATGAAAAAGATGAGTTAATACCAACCAGAGTCCAGAACAGTTGGAGAGTCTGTATAGACTACCGGAGACTTAACCAAGCGACCCGGAAGGATCACTTCCCATTGCCTTTCATTGACCAGATGTTGGAAAGGTTGGCTGGTAAGTCTCACTATTGTTTCCTTGATGGTTTTTCCGGTTATTTTCAAATTTGTATAGCACCTGAAGACCAGGAAAAAACCACTTTTACATGTCCTTTTGGCACTTTTGCCTATAGGAGAATGTTGTTTGGCTTGTGCAATGCTCCAGGCACATTTCAAAGATGCATGCTCAGTATTTTTTCTGATTTAGTGGAGCATTGCATAGAAGTCTTTATGGATGACTTTACTGTATATGGCCCATCTTTTTCTGCATGTTTGGTTAATTTGGAAAAAGTTTTGAAAAGATGTATTGATACTAACCTTGTGCTAAATTTTGAAAAATGTCATTTCATGGTAGAACAAGGTGTAGTCTTAGGCCATATCATTTCTGAAAAGGGAATTGAAGTAGATCCCGCAAAACTTGATGTTATTGCACAACTACTTTACCCCTCTTATGTTCGAGAGGTTCGTGCTTTTCTTGGTCATGCAGGGTTCTACAGGAGATTCATTAAGAACTTCTCCAAAATTGCCATTCCCTTGTCTAAGCTTTTGTAAAAGGAGGCTGAGTTCAATTTTGATGAAAAGTGCAAAGAAGCATTTAATATGCTTAAGGAAGCCCTGACTACCACACCCATCATCCAACCTCCAGATTGGACCACACCATTTGAATTAATGTGTGATGCATCCAATTTTGCAGTGGGGGCTGCATTGACTCAGAGGGTTGGTAAGTTTCCTCACATCATTTATTATGCTTCTAGAACTTTGGATCAAGCACACTGTAATTATACCATAACTGAAAAAGAATTGTTGGCCATTGTTTTTGCACTGGATAAGTTTAGATCATATCTGTTAGGGTCAAAAGTTGTGGTTTTTACTGATCATTCTGCTTTGAAGTATTTACTGAAAAAGACAGATTCTAAGCCTAGGCTTATAAGATGGATGCTTCTACTTCAAGAGTTTGATCTGGAGATCAAGGATAGAAGCGGAACCCAAAATCTGGTAGCTGACCACCTGAGCAGGATAGAGGGAGTTCCTAACCCTATTCCAATTTTAGATTATTTTCCTGATGAACAACTCTTAGAGTTGTATGCTTCACAGGCACCTTGGTACGCTGATATTGTTAATTTTCTTGCTGCAGGAGTTTTTCCAACAGATGCACCAAAAGCCAAAAAGGATAAGATAAGGAGTGATGCCAAACACTATGTTTGGGATGACCCTTATTTATGGAAATTCTGCAGTGACCAAGTCATTAGAAGATGTGTGCCTGATGAAGAGGTCTCATCCATACTGCAGTTCTGTCATGCCTCAGCTGTAGGAGGTCATCAAGGACCCCAGAGGACTGCAAGAAAAGTATTGGATGCAGGACTATATTGGCCATCCATTTTCAAGGATTCATGGCAAGCATATTCCACCTGTGAAAGATGCCAGAGAGCAGGCAGAGTAATTACCTGGAGACAGGAGATGCCCCAGCAACCCATCCTGTACTGTGACATCTTTGATGTCTTGGGTATTGATTTTATGGGACCATTCCCTTCCTCTTTTGGTTTTCTGTATATACTTCTTGCTGTTGATTATGTCTCAAAATGGGTGGAAGCTAAAGCCACCAGGACTGATGATGCTAAAGTTGTTGCAGATTTTGTCCGTAGCAACTTGTTTTGTAGGTTTGGAATCCCTAGAGCCATCATTAGTGATCAAGGAAGTCATTTCTGCAATAGGACTATGGAAGTCTTATTGAAGAAATATGGAGTTGTGCACAAAGTTTCCACTGCCTATCACCCACAGACAAATGGGCAGGATGAGCTCTCCAATAGGGAAATCAAGAAAATACTTGAGAGAGTAGTGCAGCCCCATAGAAAAGATTGGAGCCGCAGGCTTGATGATGCCTTGTGGGCACATAGAACAGCTTTTAAGACACCCTTGGGAATGTCACCATACAGGGTGGTCTATGGAAAAGCCTGCCATCTACCAGTTGAAGTAGAACACAAAGCTTACTGGGCAGTAAAGACTTGCAATATCCATTATGACTCAGCTGGAGAGCAGAGGAAATTACAGCTGCAAGAGTTGGAGGAGCTACGTCTGGAGGCCTATGAGAACTCCAGAATTTACAAGGAAAAGACCAAACAATATCATGACAAGAAGATCTCAAGCGAAGAGTTCTACGTTGGTCAAAAGGTTCTTTTGTTTAATTCTCGTCTTAAACTCATGCCTGGAAAGCTCAAATCAAGATGGCTTGGACCCTTCACTGTTACGAAGGTATTTTCCCATGGTGCAGTGGAAATCATAAGTGACTCCACTAGCAAAAGCTTTATGGTGAATGGACATCGGTTGAAGTCATTCTTACAAAATTCAGTTACCTTGGAAGAAGTTGAGGAGATTGAACTGCACTCACCATGCACTAATCTCTCCTATAACCTATGGTCTGAGTAATCCACTTCATGCGTCAAGCTAGTGACGTTAAAGAAGTGCTGTGTGAGAGGCAACTCACAAAAGATCTTAGGAATTTTTAGTTATTTTTCTGCAATAAATGCTGGTCTTACATTTGAGCCTTTCTATTTTGATACTTCCTTGTCTTGATACCTTGTTGCATTAACTAACATGGTTTTTTTCTGTATAATCTCCATTTTGGCAGAGTGAGATCATGATTATGGGGGCTAAATGCTGTACAAAGTCAAGCAAGTTTGAATGCAGCAGGATGGTAAATATTTTTCAGGCTTAAGGCAATCCCCTTGGTAAGAAAACAAAAGATCATCATGAAAGTAAGCACTTTCCTGAACAAAAGTAATCACTTTCAATTCTAACTTGCATTTTCACTTTCTGTAGTGAACACTCTCACATTTAATAGTGATTACTTTCATTGCATGTAAGCCCAAGAGGTTGCGCGTGTTTACTCTTAAAAATCATAGTGAACACTCCCAAGCCTTTTAGCACAGCACCCAGGGTGAAGCTTCTGGAGTGTTTACTATTGAAAAGTTGACAGTAAACACGCGTAGAGCTTTTTACCCACTTTCACCCTGAAGCCTCTGGAGTGTTTACTATTCAAAAGTTGACAGTAAACACGCGCAGAGCTTTTTACACACCTTGATCTTAGAAGCCTCTGGAGTGTTTACTCTTGTAAAGTTGGTAGTAAACACACACAGACTCATTCCTCTTTTTGAACTTAGATGCCTCTGGAGTGTTTACTCTTAAAAAGCAGAGTGAACATGCCCAGCTCATTTGCACCAAAACCTTGTGCGCGTGTTCACTGTTAACTTTTGAGAGTAACCACTCTGGCCCCCTATATATATATAGTGCTCACTCTCTCACACACTCTCACCCCAGTTCTGAACAATTCTCACCGCCATTCTCAAATTCATCCCCCTCCTCCATTCGTATTTGATTCATTGCCCCAAAGGTTCAGTTGCTCACATCTGTTTCGCACCTTGCACATCCAATTCAGGTAATTTTTAACTTTTAATTCCTGGAATTAGGGCTCTTGCTGTGAAATTAGGGATTTCAATTTCGCAACTTCCTGGACTGCAATTGGGTGTTTTAATCTGTCATTCCATCAATAATTCTGCATTTCAGACTTAATGGACCAGTCACTTGCGTTTAATTGTTGCACTTTCGATATTTTAAACCCTAGGGTAGTTGCCCTGTGCGCCCAGAGTGCTCACTTTGGATATTCTGCATTTGGACCTTTTGGATTGAAATTGTTAACTTGCTGCAGTTATTAATTATATGTTTGGATGATTGAAAGATGAAGGGGGCATTTCATCTGATTGTTCTGCTGAATTGAGAAGTGTTACCTTAGGAGTAACCACTCCCATTTGCAATAGTTTTCACTTTGAGTGTTCTACTGTGCTGATATTTACATAGTTCAACTAGGATATGTAATTTTTAATTTTTGATGCATTTCCTGAATTCACTACTAATTACACAGTTCCCTTGTGCTATCCTAGTTATTTTGACAGCAATTAAGCCTTGTAGTGATCATTGCCATGAACATAAGTAACCATTTTGTCTGCACCTCCCTCACCACAATGTGATATTTTGGGATTCTTTGCTGTCTTGAATGTGATAGATTGTTATCATTGCTGCACTTTTATGATACACATTCAATCACCCTTAAGCACCTCTTTCATGTTGCTGAAAATCTGCATAATCATACACTGCATAACACTATCTGTTCACTCTCATGCTCAAATGCATTCACTGACTGTGTGTACAATTTCTGAAGCATGTATACTCACTCTGAACCTTCATCCACATGCTTAACCTAGTTATTTTTGCAATCTGCTGCATCATACCTATCAAGACTAGATTCTAGAGTGATTACTGTGTGCCATGATCATCATTTTGCCATGTTCTTTACTGCATATGTATAGTATATCTGCCACCACACATGCAGCAGCAGTTCTACACACTATTTCTTGTTAAGTTTGCCCTTTTGAACTGATATGTTTTAACCTTTCTGCATAAATTGTTGTTGCCCTGTGTCCAAAGTAGTTACTGTCATTCTGCATAGTGAACACTTTGGCAGCACAACACCTCACAGTGCACACTCTGACATCACTTAAACTGTGAATCTGCAGCAACATGGCTAATACACACAGGAAGACCACCCCTAGAGCCAAGAGAGCCAGAGCTGCTGGAGCTTCATCATCCAGACCCCCTCCTGCACATGACCCGAGGTTTCGCTCATTAGCTCATGAAGAATATTTCAGAACCAACATCCTGCGAAGGCAGATAGTGCAAGATCGTAACTTTGAGATCCAGGAGGGCACCTATACTCAATTTCAGGAGGAAATTCAGAGGAGGGGCTGGGATCTGTTTACCTCTTGTGCTGGAAATGGGTGGAAGGAGATCACCTAAGAATTTTATGCTAATGCAATAAGGGTAAAAGGAGACCAGCTGGCCCTTCGGCACACTATGGTAAGAGGTGTAGAAATTGATTTTTCTCCATCTAACATTCAGAGGGTTCTGAACATACCTCTAGTGGAGAGGAGAGCTGGACAACTTGATTTCACTACATTCAGCTATCAAGAAAAGAAGGACTACAAGCCCATACTCCAGGCCATCTGTAAACCAGGAGAAAATTGGGAGTTTGACATGCAGCTCATGCCAAAGAATCTGACCACCAAACACCTCCTCCCACCAGCCAAGGTGTGGAGCATTTTCCTGCTAAGCTCCTTTATGCCAGTACGCCATTCCTCCACATTGGCTGTCAAAAGAGCTGAGCTTTTAAATGCCATCCTCACTGGTATGCCAATCCATATGGGAGACATTATAAGCAACTTCATCATGAGCATCTTAAGCACCAAGAGGGACTCCCTTGCTTTTCCTTCCATCATCACCATGCTCTGCCAGGATGCTGGAGTAGACATGGGTGAATATCAGCAGAGAGTCAAAGCTGCCCCTCCCATCACTACTGCCATGGTGAAAGATCTTTTCAATGCTAAGAAGAAGTCTGCTGACCCAGGTCTCTCCCTCCTTACTGAATATAGGAAGAGAAGCCAGTTGAATCTTAGAGAACAGGTCCGGCAAATAGCACTGAGGCAGGATGCAATCCATGCTGGCCAGAAATCCATGCTGACCCTCCTGGAAACTATGTCCCTCAATATAGGAAAGAAGCTGGGCATGACATCAGAGCAAATTTATGACGCCCCTACCTTCACTGCCCCTTTCCTTAGAGCAGCAGTTAACCAAGATTTACCTCCATTCACCACCACCCATGCACACTGCAACTGAGAAGGATAACAGCTCCAGTTCTTCAGAGGAGGAAGAGAAGGAAGAGGATGATGATGAGAATGATGACAATCTTTCATCCTCCAGCTCAAATGAAGATCTTATATAGCATTGCTTTTCTTTCTGTCATTTATATTTCTGCAATTTCTAGCTCATTTCCCTGTATTTAGTAAATACTACTTTCATTGTAATTATCATCTTTAGTACTATTTTCCCCTTTATTTTCATGCATCACCCCTTGAACACTCTTTGACGCTTTTATATATATACTATTTGCAGTTTAAATTCTATTCTTATACTCTGCTGAATCCCTTGTGCGTCTTTGTGCAGAGAATGCCCTCAATAACATCAAGAGGAGCATGAAATTGATCTCTGAGTGTGACTCTAAAAGGGGGGTGATCTCTTTGCCTCTGTTTCGCATTGTTTAGTCTGTTTTTCCTGCATAGTTCATAGATAAAATACAAAAACAACCTCTTTGTTTCTTTACTGTTTATTTTTGATGAAATTTAGTTTTCTAATTCTGATTTTATATTCTGATCGCACTTCCTATTCAACTTAATCATTCTCTGTTTTGTCAATAATTATCGTTCTTACCATACTGAACATAGTTTCCTGTAAGGTGAACTGTATTCACATGTTGCTATGAAATTATCATCTTTTACCATGGTACAGAATTGGGCCTTAAAATTCTTTTTTGTGTGCACATTACATGTACTTTTGCATTCATCTTCTAGAACTTGCCTTGTTTCTTAATTGAATATGCATTGTACAATTTTTCATCTAGATGATTGAGGCTTTCTTTGCACATATCCACCCTAGAACACCCCCCACCAAATTTCCTTTGTTCTACACTCCCTTCTTTTGCTAAACTTAGCCTACCAACATAGTTTCCTTCCCTTAAGAGAGGTATTTCTTTTGAGTTGCGTCAAGAATGATTGCAAGAAACTAAGTTTGGGGTGCTAATTGTGACTGTAGTTGCTTGAGGACAAGCAAGATCTTAAGTTTGGGGTGGTGAGCATTATACATGTCCATATTACATGTCAAAAAAAAAATGCTTGAATTTGAAGAAAAGAATGATTGCCAAAGTCCAACGAATCGAAAAAAAAAATAATAAAATGAAGGAATGGAGGAAAAAGGAAAAGAAAAAGAAAAATACAGCAAGTCTTTTTGATAGAAAAAGAAGTTCCACATAAGGCAAAATAAAAAAAAATGATGAAAGAATGCCTAAACCTCATAAATTGCATCCTTTAGTGCATTCCATTCTAGTTATTGTGCTCATTCACTCAAAAGAATTTTCCTTTCTTAAAAACCCACTTGAGCTTTTGCCATTCCTTGATCAAAAATTGAACCTAACCTAACCACATTTGTGACCAACAAAGCCCTTATGATAGGTGGTTCATTGTATCTAGGCAAAGCAGATTGAGAATATGGGCAAGCATATGGTAGGGTGAGGCAAAATGCATGAATTGAGAGAAACACTGAGCCTACAATATTAATGAGTGAGAGTGAAACACTATACTGTGAGCTGGATGATTTCTTTGCATTGTGTGGACTGCATGAAACCTTGCTGGACTTTTGTTTCGGTTTAGTGGGATTTTGCATGAAAATAGATGATATGAGTGTGATTGTTTTGTTGAATGAATCCATAATTTTGAAAATATTGGAAGAGCTAATTGGAGTCTAAGATTGGAATGGAAATCTTTGAGAAAATTTTTGGATAAATCCAACCCTTTACCTTCAATTTTTTTAAAGTTTTAGTTTGCTTGAGGACAAGCAAAAGTCTAAGTTTGGGGTTGTGATGAATCCACACTTTATAGATATTTTGTTTGGTTTTTATAAAGTTTTAATAGAAAAAAATAGATTTAGAGATTGTAAATAACATTAAAATCTTATTTAGGTAGAAAACAATAACTTTCTTAATTTTTGTCTTAATTCCATTAATTTTTGTGAATATATTTTGCAATTTTGATCATTTGAATAATTGTGCAGGAAATTCTAGACAAATTTTATGAATTTTTGGCTCTTTGAAAAAATATGAACTGAGAGTAACTACTATCAAATACCAGAGTAATCACTCTAGGGAGCTGGTTTCAAGGGATAGGCCAGAGTAACCACTTTCAGATATCAGAGTGATCACTCCAGAAGCCCTAGACCCCAAGTGTCCTGCGCGTAAACACTCTCAGAAATGGGAGTAATCACTCCAGAGATGCCTAGAAGGAAGTGCCCTGCACGTGTTTACTCTCAGAAATGAGAGTAATCACTCCAGAAAGGGAAATACTCTCTTGTTTTACAGAGTGATCACTATGGGGCCATGTCAGACTTAATATATATAGACTTTTAGAAATTAGGGTACCGGGATTCATTTTCCTTAGATTCTTTTGCCACTTTTGGAGCATTTTTGCAGAGCTTAGGATTCTTGGGTGACAGCCAGGGATCCATTATAGGTTTTAATTTCCAATTTCCCTTTAATTCTCCTTGATTTTACATTAATGTTGCTTACGTTTCTACATTCCCTTCTTTCATGTGTGAAGCCCATCCATATGGAGGGCTAAATTCTCTTGTAATTCCTAGTCAACTCATATGGTTCTTGAATTCTTGAGTTTAATGGCAATATTACTCTTTCTTTCCTTGGATTTATTAACCCCAATCTCTAAACGAAATGAAATTTGCATGAGGGGAACATTGCTTAATGAACCCTAAATTACCCAACAAAATTCTAATCTAAAATTGCTTAATTTTGATTAATCTTTGAGATTGCTTAATCTTAGGGATAGAGAATTGGAGCCCATTAAGATGCAATTTTAATTGGGATACTAAAGTTAATTTTCGCTTGTTAGATTAACTTAATTCAAGGGAAAAATAGAGGATTATTGAATCATTTGAAAGAATAGGGATAGAACTCATTGATTGACTAGAGATTACTCTTTTTAATTGATTGAATTTCATTAGTTTACATTCTGTTCTTGATTAAAATCTAGAAATTGACAAACCTCCCCCGAATTTACTTGCTTTAAAATATATGTTTACACTTGTTCGATGTATGTTCCCAACCAAAAGTTCCTTGGAGATAACCTAGGACAACACCCTAGTATTGCATTTATATCTTGCATATTTGGTGAGGATTAACGACAATCTTTGTGCATAACGAGTAGTGAAAAATTGTTCCATCATTACTAAAACTCCAAACAAAGTGGACTTGGTCAATGATTTATCCCTAGTCAACTAGCTTAGTTAAATCAAACTAAAGCCCTTCAAAACTAACCAATAATTGAAGCTAATGTGAGGGAGAGAAACTTGACTTGATTAAACAAAAATTAGAAACTAGCTAAAGCAAGTACAAGGACCTAACTAGATGACATAATGGTGGGCATGACTTTGGGAGGCTATTTTCACATGGAAGAAATGCTTGTGGAGGGTTGGATCCCAAATAAAAAACACTTGCTACTACTAGAAACACGCTATTTACAGACAGAAAGTATAGACAAATTTTATCTATCTATCTGTCTGTAATTTTTGTTTGTATTTAGCCTGTCATTTGGGATAAAGCATTATAGACAAATTATAGACAGAAATATCTTTCTGTAATTTGAAAATTGGAGGAAAATTTGGAGTGGGAGTTACAGACGAAAAAATTTGTCTATAAATGTGACCATTTTTTACTAACTTTTCAATTGACAATTTATAGACAGATTTTTTCGTTTGTAACTGTCTTTGGTAGATTTACAGACAGATAAATCCTTCTATAATTAAACTTGTAAATGTACTATTTCATTAAACCATTTATAGACGGATTTTCCTGTTTGTAATGTGAAAAAACATCAAAATCGCGCCTCCTCCTCCTTTTTTATTTTGCATAATATCCTCTTCCTCTCTCACCTCTCTATCTCTCGCTTTCTCTAGGAGCTTTAGTTTTTTTAGCCTTTGTGAGTGATTGGAGCATTCATTTGAAAAATAATTTGTATCATTGTGTTTCTGGTATGTGATGAATCCATATTTTTACTAATATTTTAGTGTAATTCTAACATATTTGATAAGGAAAATATGTTAGAAAAAGCAGAAAAACTCAGAAAAATAGAATGGTTAAAGGTTTTCTTTTAATATGTAGTTATTTTAGCATTTGTGAGATT